ACAAAGCCATGTACAAAGACAGAAGCGTGTATACAGACAAACATATACACAGAAATATAGCTAGACACACAGAGACATAGATATATACACTCTGAAACACCCAATGCACACACAGATACACAGGCATATACACAGACAACACCCACAAGCAACACAGTCATAACACGAACTTATACACAGACTCACAATTCATGTACCCTCAGACACAGACATATATACAGACACACAGACATGTGCACACATACAAGCATACACAGACGTAGATGTATACACAGACACACCCAGTGCTTGCAAAGATACAACACTGAGACATATAAAAAGACACACACATATGTAGACATAGGTACAGATTCACAGGCGCCATCATGTAGCACTGTCACAACTTGTACTTATACACACAACATTCACACACATAAAAATTGACATATTCAGAGATACACATAGACATAGAGACAGCGATGCACACGTGTGTGTGGACACATATACATAGACATATACAGATGCACACTTATACACAGACACAGATGCACACACAGACACACACAACATATACAGAAACACATACGCACAGAATTATGCACAAATGCCTACACGTACACAGAAAAAGACAGACATACAGATATATAAACAGACATACACAAACATGCACACAAACACCACAGACATACACAAAAACACGTATGCAGGCACACAACAGACATACACACAGAATCAGACACACACAGACATATCTAGACACTCATGCATGCGCACACACTGACACACAGACAGACACAGACACACAGACGCATACTACACTGGTGTGTGTGTCTGTGTGTCTGTATATGTACATACAGAAACACATGAGTACATGCACAGACAATAAATATATGTACACAGGCAAACAGGCACTGATAGACATACAGACACACACCCAGAGACACAGGAACATATACACAGACACACATGTATACACAGACACAGAAATAAACATGCATATATACAACAGACATATATACAGAATTAGACATACACAAACATATACACAACACATAACATATGTACACCCACTGACACAGTGAGGCACACACAGACACAAAAGCACACAGACACAAAAGCACATAGACATATACACAGACACACAAGATATATACATAGACACACAACACACATGAGCAGTACACAAAACACTCACATGCATATATATACACAAATACACAAACACTACACAGATTTAGAGACATACAGCCAGAGTCACATATATAAAGACATGCCCTTGCGTACACACAGACATATACACAGACACATACATGCTCACAGACACATGCAGATAGAGGCACACGGATATATACACACAAGACATACACAAGCATATACACACAGAGAGACATATACACAGACACACAGAAACACACATGCGCATGCAAACACACAGAGAAGATGGATAGATTTACATACAGACACACAAATGCTCACACAGACACAAGCAGACATATTTATAGACAATGTACTACAAGAGCAAACACAGACATACACTGATACTGATGCATACATGACATAGATGTGCACAGACATATAAAGACATACGCACACAAGAGACACACAAGACATATACACAGATATACACATAGACATCTACACAGACACACATGCATGCACACACGGACATATACACAGATACAGAGACACAAACATATATATAGACTCAGAGACAGATGGACTCACATAGAGACAGACATGTACATGCCTCACACAGACCTTCACACATGCACACACAAACATACTGATACATACAGACATTTACACAAAAGCACACATACACAGACATACAAACACAGGTACATAAACAGATGAAAACATGCATGCACACACAGATACACAAGACACACACCCACATGCATATAGAGAGACATACAAAGGCATATACACACAGAGCACAAAGTCATATACAGACAGAGACACACAGATATTTGCACAAACATACAGATGCATGAACAGACACACAGATATATTCACAGACATGCAGACATAGACAGACACAAACAGACATATACAAAAGGAGACAGACACACAGACATATCCAAAGGCACACAAACCGACGTATATGCACAGAGACCCACACAGACATACAGAGACACAGTTCACATACAAAGACAATCAGAGACACACAGATCTATGCATAGACACAGAGACACGCACACATAAGCAAACACCTAGACAGACATAGACAGACACACAGACATATACACAGACACACCCAATGCATGCACAGATACACACACAGAGACTTATATAAAGACATACACATGCACACATAGACCTAGATACAGACAGGCTCCCACAGACAGACACAGACATACTCCCACATGCAGCACAGTCACAGCATGAAATTATGTGCAGGCTCAAAACATGCACACACAGATACAAAATTGATATACATAGGGACATATGGGCATCCACACACAGATGTGCAAGACACATACAGACATATATGCAGACACACTTCTACACAGACACAAATACACATATAGACATATACACAGACACATAGATACACAGAATTATACACAGATGCATACACTTGTGCACAAAAAGACACACAGACACAACAGACATATACAGAGACACACATAACCACACACAGATATATATATATATGCTCAGACAGATACAGAGACACATGCAGATACACAGAGCAGACATGAACGTACAGACACACACATATATACACAGATATACAAACACATACAAATTTAAATTACACAGACACAAGATACACACAAACACACTTGTATGTGCACAGAGACATACACAGACACACACAAATATGTACACTGACATACCCATGCGCCAACACACATGCTCACACAAACATACACAGATATATAGACACACAGGCATACACAAATGCACACAGAGACACAGTTTTATATATACAAAGACGCTCATGTCTATATAGACACATGAACACAGACACACACAGACATATAGACATACACAGAAACATGCACACACATACACATTAGACATAGACACAGAAACACAGACATATACACAAGCATACATAGATGAACATACATAGACATACACAGACACAGTGCCCACACAAGAACACAGAGACACATACAAACATACAGAAACAGTCACACATAGAGATGTGCATAGACACACAAACACATGCACTCACAGACAAGCAAAGACATATGCACAAACTTATACAGACAGATACACACACATGCACATATACAGATACTCAGAGACATGTACGCGGACACACAGAGACACACATAGAGATGTATATAGACATAATCCATCCACACACTCACATACAAACACAAATACAAAGATGTACACACAGGCACATGCACATACACGCAGACATATACACAAACACACACATGTACACACGGAGACAGGCATATACACAGAGACATACAGACATTACACTGACAGTCAGATACACACAGACATATACACAGACACACATGCACGCAAAACAGAGATATACACAAAACCTCTGCACAGAGACACCCAGAAACATATACACACTTGCACACAGCGACACATGCACAAGCACCCACATGCAGACACACAGACATATACACAGACACACATGGACACATACATAGACACAGTCACACACAAACATACATAGACATATGCACATACACACAGACATATACATGGACACACTGCAAACAGACACAAATAGATGTGTATACAGACATACAGATATAAACACAGACAGATAGGGTCATATACATAGACACAGTCACACACACATGCAACATAACAGTCACAAACATATACACAGACAGACACAGATATACACATGTACATGCAGACATATTCACAGAAAAATACTGTAAACACACAGACCCAAATATATCCACAGACACACATGCACACACAGAGAAACACAGACATAGAAACACACATGTACACATATACGTACAGACACACACAAATATACACAAGCAACAGATATATACACATGGACTCTTGACACACAGACATATTCACAGACATATACCGACATGCGCACAGACAAAACATGAACATAGGGCTGGAGAGATAGCACAGCGGGGAGGGCGTTTGCCTTGCATGCGGCCGACCCGGGTTCGAGTCCCAGCATTCCATATGGTTCCCTGAGGACCTCCAGGAGTAACTCCTGAGTGCAGAGCCAGGAGTAACCCCTGTGCATCGCCAGGTGTGACCCAAAAAGGAAAAAAACCACGAACATATACACAGACACATACAGAGGTACAAACACATGCACTTACACAGATATATACACAGTCACATATGTGCACATGCAATGAGACTCACACAGGCACACATGTACACACAGACATACAAACAGACATACACAAACACATACCAAGGTGTATACACACTCACACCCAGACATATAAACAAGAGAGACTAGTCTGAATTTAGGCTCCATTTTACAATCTTACACATTGATGTTAAAGAGTAATTTGCGCATTTTAATATTTAAAATTTGCACTGTCACACTGTTGTCCCATTGTTCATCGACTTGTTCGAATGGGCACCAGTAACATCTCCATTTTGAGATTTGTTGTTACTGTTTTTGGCATATCGAATGCGCCACAGGGAGCTTGCCAGGCTCTGGCATGCGGTTGAGATACTCTTGGTAGCTTGCCGGGCTCTCCAAGAGGGAAGGAGGAATCAAGCCTGGGTCGACCGCATGCAAGGCAAACGCCCTACCCACTGTGCCTTCGCTCCAGTCCTACATTTTAATATTATTATTAATATTTCAGTTTTTTGGCTCATACATGGTGGTGGTCAGGGCTTACTGCTGGCTCTCCTCAGGAGTCACTCTTGGTGAGGAGGGGGTCCTGGGGGTTGTCGGGGATTGAACCTGGGTCTGTTGCATGTAGGACAGACAGACGCCTTCCCCACTCTCCTGCGGCTCCGGCCCTAGTCCCGATCTGTATACTCGACTGCGTCTTCTAAGCTGCTCTATAAGCTGTGTGCTGAGTGTCCCTTCCTTGCAGTGAGGTCTGTGTGCCAGAGTCTCCCTGCTTTCTCCCCCAACTGCAGACTCACCTCATGCCGGAGTGTTTAGAAAAGAGGCAGCTGTTTCCTTGTCACAGGAGGCCCAGTCCTTTGGGTCCCCCTGAACGAATCTTTCTTCTCCTAACTTGATTCAGAAGATAGGTAGAAACGTCTCTTTTCCCTCAAGAGGTGGTTGTGTTTTCTTTTAGTGGGGGATACGGGAGTAATTCTGGGCTACACATATATACAGAAAAACACAGACACACAGACATGCACACACAGAGACACACAGAGAGACTCACAGATATATAAATAGACATGCACAGACAGGCATAATCAAATAGACACAGACATACGTGCAAACATTAACACAAAACACACACAAACATGCACATACACAACACAGACATATACAAAAGAGAGAGACAGATATATAGATACACACATATGCACATAAATATACTCCCATTCGCACAAACACTTGAAGACACAGATACACACAGGCATACACAGACACCCATATGCACACGCACCCTTTTGCATATAGACATATATACAGACATACAAAGAGACAGAACAGATCCATAGGCAGACAGATGTGGACATGTACACAAATACATATACAGAGACACAAAGATGTATACACACTGACACACAAAGATACTTACAGACATGCACAGACAAAACCCACATACATATACATGAAGACATACAAAGACATATGTACAGACACACGTACACACAGACAACACAGACACACATGCATCACACAGACACGAACAACCATCTAAACAGATACTCAGATATATACACAAGTATACACATACACACAGAGAGACAAACAGACATTTACACAGACATACACAATTGTCTTAGAAATAGCTAAGAGGACGAAGAACCTCTGGTTTCAGGCACATCTCTTAGATTCCACTCTTCTTCCTGCATTAACATACACCTCAGAGACCTGGGCCCTACACAAACAGGATGAGAACGCTATTCATGTCTCCCAAAGACAAATTGAAACAGCTATGCTTGGATGCCATCGGGCCACACTAGCACGCGACAGGGACAAATGGAGACGTTACTGGCGCCCGCTCAAGCAAATCGACAATTAACAGGAAGTCAAGTGATCAAGTGATACACAATTGTCAAAACACAGACATATAGACAGAAACAGAGACACACAGCTGTATTCAGAGACACATAGGCATATATACAGAAACATATGCACACACACAACACAGACAATTACAGAGACACACACATAGATGTACACACAGAAACATGTGCACAGTCACATACAGAGACATGGGTATATACAACAGAGACACACACATGGGCACACACAGACAGTCATACACAGACATACAGTCATACACAGATGCACACATACATAGACAGAGACATGCACACATAGACATATACATAAAAGACAGATACATAGACATAAACACAAAGGCAACAGATATATACATCGGCACATACAAGGTCACATACATGCAGACACAGACTCACAGATTTATACACAGACTCATAGACATACACAGATACAAAAGACATACACGCAGAAACATACACGGCCAAACACAGATACACACCAAATGCACACAGAGACAACAGACAATACAGAGACATGTGTACATAACATACAGATACACAGGGAGACATAGATATATACATAGACATACAGACATATGCACACAAAAACACACATGCTCACACAGACATACAACAGATGCACTCACAGATACATACAGGCATACACACTAACAGATACATAGACATGTACAGACACAGACATTTACTGAGAAACACATAGATATACACACAGATACACCTAGACACACACAGGCACACACACATGCACAAACGGACATAACTCACATAGACAGAGACACACATGCTCACATACAGACATAAAAGCAGACACATAGTGACACAGATATATACATAGACACAAGGTCTCAATTACACAGACACACATGGACATATGTTCAGACACTCAGATGCACACAGATGTATAAATACACAGACACACACAGATCATTTTCACACACATAACACAGACATATATACACACACAGGAATATACACACATGTGGACACACATGCACACACTAGACAAAACACACATACAGAGATACTTCATGTACACAGAGACACAAAGACGTAGACTCACAAACACCCTGACATATACACACACATACGGTCACAAAGACACACAAAGATATAAACAGACATATACAGAAACACTAAAATACACCTGTACATACCAGACATATACACAAATACACACATATGGACAAACACACCTACTTGTACCCACAGCAGGCAGTGGAGGCAGAGTGGTGAAAAAGAAAGGAGGCAACATAAGAACAGGAGGTGGAATTGGAGGTACGGAGCCAAAAGAAGGAGTTGGAGGAGGAGGAGGGAGAAAACAGGTGGAGGAGGAGGTGATGGTGGGAAGAAGAAAAGAAGAGCAGGACAACGTCGAGGAGAAATATGTCAGAAGAAGATGAAGGGGACATCAGAAGGAGTGTCTGTGGGAAGAGACATGTGAACTTGTGCATTGAATTTGTGACGGGGAGGGATGGAATGTGTGGGGAGAGTGAGACCGTGGAAGAAGAAAAGATGAACCGGAAGTAGAAGACGAGACGGAAATGGAGGAAACACAAAGAAGTTAGATCCGGAGAAGGTGGACGAGCATAGGAGATGAAGAAAATAGGCAGAGGATGGGGTGGTGGAGGGAAGAAGAAAAGAAGAGGACGAGTTTGAGGAGAGGTAAGTCGAAGAAAAGAAGACGGCAGAGAGGAGTCAAGGCAGTGAAAAAGAACCTCTTAATGGGGCTGAGTGATAGCACAGCGGGTAGGGCATCTGCCTTGCACACGGCCGACCCAGATTCGATTCCCAGCATTTCATAGGGTCCCCTGAGCACCACCAGGAGTAATTCCTGAATGCATGAGCCAGGAGTAACCCCTTAGCATCACCAGGTTGGCCCCAAAAAGAAAAAAAAATAAAGAACCTGTCAAGGACGAGGAGGTTTGGAACCAAGAGGAGGAGTTGGAGGAGGAGGAGGGAGAAAACGGGTGGAGGAGGTGTTGGCAGGAAAAAGAAGAGAAGGATGAGTTCTAGGACAAGAGGAATTGAGAAGAACTGAATGGCTGCAGACTATGGGGGCTGCAGTTGAAAATGGAACGTGGGTAACATCATAACAAGAGGACTGGAGGGTACGGAGGAAAAAGGAGGAGGAGGAGGAGGAGGAGGAGGAGGAGGAGGAGGAGGGAAGAAGAAGAAAGAAGGCGTAGGAGGAGGTGGTGTTGGGAAGAAAAGAAGAGCAGGACAACGATGACGCGGAGAACTTTGCCAGAGGGTGAAAGGGACCTGAGAAGAAGGGGTGCATGTGGGAATTGGGATTTGGATTTGTGAATGGAATCTGTGAGGGGGAGGGACAGGGACGTATGGGGAGAAGGAGACCCTGAAGGAAGAAAAGACGGTGCGGAAGTAGAAGAGGAGACGGAAATGGAGGAAACACAAAGGTGTTAGAAAGACGGAGGCGGAAGAGCATAGTAGATGAAGAAAACAGGCAGAGGACAGGGCGGTGGAAGAAGAGTAGAAGTGGACGGTTTCGAGGAGAGGTAAGTGGAAGAAAAGATGTCAACCTAGAGGATGTGAAAAAGAATCCCTCAGTAAGGGGAGGACTAGGAGGTACAGACCCAACAGATGATGGAGGAGGAGGACGGAGAGGGAGAAAACTGGTGGTGGAGGTTGTGAAGGAAAGAATAGAGAAGAGGAGGAGGCGTTTGAGAATGAGGGTAAGTACAAGAACTGGAAAGCAGGAGACAGTGGAGACTGAGTGGTGTAAAGGAGAAAAGGACGATGTCAGAACAAGAGGAGGATCTGGAGATACAGAGCCAAAAGGAGGAGTTGTAGAGAAGGAGGGAGAAAACAGGTGAGGAGGAGGTGGTGGCGGGAAGGAGAAAAGAAGGGGAGGATGAGTTCAGGGCCGAGAGGAAGTGAGAAGAACTGAAGGGCAGGGGACTATGGAGTACTTCGAAGGCACCCTTGAGCTCTGTCCAGTGGGGGTGGGTGTTGGAGAGAGACAAGGAGACAGACACGCAGTGTCCCAGCTTTGGCATCAGCTGGGCAGCTGCAGGGAGTTGCTGCTAGATGGCCACTTATTCCAGACAGTATGGCTGCTGCCTGGCTTCCCACATGAGAGACCCTGGGAGCTGACAAAGGCGTTCGAGAGAGTGAGCACGGGAGAACTCAGTGAATCCCGAGGAGCAGAGGGGGGCATGTGGCACTCAGCCGGCCAGCAGTCTCCCTGCAAGTGCAAGCCGTGGCAGTTTCCTATTCCATTCTATTTTATTTTTTATAAAGCTACTCACAATGGTTTCTTAGATTCAGAATTCCAACAGCAATCCCACCACCAGTACACCTTCCCACCCCATTATCTCCAAGTTTCCCAACTACCATCCAAGCCTGCCCCCATAGCAGGCCCTAAATAATTTATTTTGTAACGTTCATTATGAAAAATTCACTAAGAATGATCAAAAATGATTTCCTTAGGGAAAAAGTGTGTGAAGATTGTTGTCTCTCACCCTGGAGCTTTTAAGAGATGCCTTGTATAAGCCTTGTATAAGAGATGATTACAGGTTGTTACAGGTGAAGCCTTGTGTGTTAATAGTTTCTTGTCTTTCCTTTTTTAAGGATTTAAAATAATTGAATCACTGTGAGAGAGACCCTTACAAAGCTGTTCCTGATTGGGTTTCAGTCATACAGTGTTCCAACACGCATCCTTCCGCCAATGCACATTTCCCGGCACCAGTGTCCCCAGGTTCCTCCCATCACCACCTCCTGCAGTGCCTCTCTCTCTCTCTCTCTCTCTCTCTCTCGCTCTCTCTCTATATATATATCTATCTCTCTCTGTCTCCCTCTCTCCCTCTCTCTCTATATATATATCTATCTCTATCTCTCTCCCTCCCTCCCTCCTCTCCTCCTTCCAATATTCACACTTTGCTTCCTCTTTATTTTGCTGTATGGGGCAAGGATACTCGACTCTATGCTTGAGGACGGGTGTGACGGGA